ATGGGGACTGGCAGGACAGGGGGACGGGGAGGGGGTTCACACCCTCAGGGCATCCCCCTACCCTCCGAAAGATGTTCCCTCATGTGGGAGAGGAACTCAGAAGTAAGGCTTTGATCTTTGACATCCACAGTCCTGGAGTAGAGCAAAGATGGCGTCCCAGTACTGGACATGGCCAACCCAAGGTGAAATACCCAGGTCATGGCTGACACTGGTACAGACACTGCCAGGATGCGCTAGGCTGTGCTATCCCACTCTTCTCACACATAGCCCTGGGCTGGTAGGGGAGGCTCTGCTCACCCTGCTACACACTGGTCCAGGGCGATGGAGGTTCCATCAAGACACCTATTTCCGCCCTCCTGAAGGGGGGAAGGGAATCCAAGGAGTTGCATGGCAGCTCTTAAAAGAGTTCTGTACAAAGTGGCATGAGTCACTTTGATCTCCACTTAGACACCTCAGCAAGCCATGTGGCCACATCTAACTTCAAGGAAGGAGGAGAAACTTAACCTTACTGGGTGCCCAGAGGCAGGGTATCTGTGAAGAGCCCTCTAGGACCAGACATGCAGCTTCCAGGGGACCAGCCGGGGCCCCTAGGAGGCAGGGCCACAGGGACTCCACTCCTCTAAGGAAGCATCAACCCCCCTTGCTCAGCACCAAGCCTTTGAACCCTCTGGGGAAGTCAGGGTGAGTTCAATAGGGTGGAAACAGAAGGCTCAGGGGCAGGTGCTTCAGAAAAGGTACCCAGGGCTTGTCTGGGCACAGAAAATGTCCACTAAGAGCTTTGTTCACCATAATCTGCTTCCTGGATTTTCATGGCCTTTGGGGCAACTCTTCTCGGGCCCATAAAGTCAGAACATCAGAGCTGGGTGTGTCCCCTGGAGCCTGGCTGCTCCCGTGTGGTCCCCAGATCCGAAGCAGCAGCAGCACCTTCCCCAGGGAGCTTGTGCGAGACAACCGGTCTCCAGTGGGCGGGCACCACCCAAAACTACTGAGCCAGAATCAGCATTTTATGAGATTGGAGAAAGCATGCTCGTTACAGCTCCAGAAGCACTTACCCAGAACTAACTGAGGCCAACATTTTTCATTTCACAAACAGGGAGGAGGCTGGCCCAGAGTCACACAGCTGGTTCCCATCCCGGCTCCACCACTCTCCAGTGACTTTGGGAAAGTCACACATTCACTGAAGCTGTTTCCTCTTCTATGACACAGGGGACTGTACTTTCCCGAGTGCATATGTGGGCATCGGATAAGAGCATCTAGGCTGGTGTCCACTACGCAGCATATGCTTAAATAGTGTTAGCTACTGCAACAGGCCTAGCTCACCGTTCTGAGGCCACCCCTGCATACCTCCTAGTGCATGGCAGTTTGTTGACAGTGTCAAGTAGAGCAAGGCAGGGATGAGTCGTGGGCCCAGCTACCACTGCAGATTCTGCTCTGCCATCTGACTTCAAGTCAGCTGCTGAATTGTTCTTTGGTTCGTGGCTTTAGTTTGATCATTTGAAAAGTTCTGTCCCTGCCTTGTTGGATTATTGCAGCCATCAAAATGAATTCATATATTTAAGGCCTTCGAACAGTTTCTGATACCAAGCAGTTCCATAAGATGACAAAATATCCATAACATAGAGGCAAGGGTGGGGAGTTGGGCCACAGGGAGGCACGGATCTTCCCCAGATGGAGCTGCTTCTGCTCTGCCCTGTTCACAAACTAGTCCACTAGATTCTAGTCTCTGCTGAACCACTGAGCTACACCCCCAGCTTCCCAGTCTCCTCTTCTTCCCCAGCTGAGGCAAAGGACTCTCTGGGCTCCCACAGAACCACTGAGAAGCAAGGGGGTGGGGTGTGTTTGTGCTGAGGAGAATGCTTAGGGCAGGAGGCAGCTGTCTGCAAATCCTTGAAGGGCTGTCACACAGGACACAGATTAGACTCTAAGGGGTCGGGATGACTTAGGGGACAGAAATAGGAGGCTCCAGGAAGTCCTGCGGAATCATTAGAACTGTTCCCAGGCAGCTCCAGCAGCCAGGTGGGGGCTGAGCTGGGCAGCCCAGCGGTTGCCCCTTCAGGTGGGGGAGCTGCAGGCTGGGGGTCTCCTGGGTGACTGACTGGCTGCGGGAGTCCACAGATTCTAAAGCCTGGCCGAGTTTGAATGTCAGAATCATCTGAGAAGCTTTTCAAATACAGATTCCCAGGCCCTGCCCAAGCCAGCCTGATCAGAATCTCTAGGGGTGGGGCTAGGATCCATTTCAAAAGCTCCCCTCCTTCAAAGATTCTAATAAGGGAGTGAGTCTGGAGCAAGAGCCAGGCATTGGGGGTGGGAGAGGGGTAATGTGGTGGGGGTTAAGGGCGGAGAAAGGAGCAGCAAGGTGAGTGGGAGGAAAGGGCAGAACCATCCCGGGAGGAATCCGCAGGGCTCCTTACCCCTCCTCTAGACCACTAGGTCTAGGTTCGGGGACCGGGCTTCTCTGGGTTTCTACCGCTCACAAAGAGTTTCTGTGCCATTGATTAGGAGATTAGTAAGTCACCTAATAGCAGCCTAACTCCCAGACCGTTCCTTCTTCTCTGTCCTAACCCTGCCGTTACGCTCCTACTGGGATCCCCGTTCCTCCCCAGCCTTTCAGGTGACCCAAAGAGATTGCTAAGGCTCAGAGGAGAGAGGCTGGCCCGCCTCCATCGGGAGAGACAGCTCTTTCTCACCACACCCTAGAAGCCCAGGGCCACTTCCGGGCCCGGGCGTTGAGGCTCTGACACAGGAACTAGAAAGGAAACCTGCGTGGACGCCAAGATTTTTGCTCACCCGTTTCCTTCGGGTCAGCCCCACAGCTTAGTGTATTACAGGCGCCACTAGCGCACACACCGTCCCGGGGAGCAGGCGCCTTCGGGACGCGCGGACGAGGGCGCACACGCAGAGTCCCGCAGACCTCAGGCGAGGGGAGGAGCGTGGGGTGCGGAAAGGGAACCCGAAGCTTGGGCCTCGGCCCCACAGCGCCACCTGGTGTCTCCGCGCACAGCGCGAGCGCGGCGCCCGCGGACACCAAGCCTTTCCTTTCCCCTCCTCTTCCTTCCTCACCGCGCCTGCTGCCCATCCTTTCTGTGCTCAGCGAGCGCTTCCCGGCTCAGCCGCTTGTGGCCTGCGGCTCCGAGCGGGCTCCTTTTCCACCGAGGTTTCGGGATGAGAGAGCAGAGATCCCGCCGCGGGACAGTTTAGAGGAGCGGGAAGGTGGCCTAGGCCGGGAGCCGAGAGGCCGCGCGCAGCCAGAAGAGGGCGCCCCGCTCCAGCTCGCCCAAAGGGCCGGCGGTGGCCGCTTCTATGGACCCCTCCAGGAACAGGCCCGCAGCGGGGATGGCCGCGGGGATGCAGGCGAGGCAGATGCCCAAGTGCAAGGAGCCCTTGACCCCACTTCTCCCCGGGTCTCCGACGCTTTCGCCTGTCACCTCGCATGTTGCTACTGTGCTGTGCCATTGACTGATCTTCTAGGTGAGTAATTCTCATTCCTAGAGGACAGGGATCTGCCGAGGCCACTGTTGAACTGGCCAGCTGGACAGGGCGCATACGAAGCCTCCTTGAAAAATTCATGGCATGGATACACTTTCAGGGGCTGACGGAGAAGTCCTGCCCCAAAGCATCAGCCAGATGCTGGTAGGACAAGAAACTGGCCCCCTCCCCACGCGGCTGTTTCTGAGAAGTCTGGCTTTCCGCGGACTTGGCTGTGGGGGACCCTCACAGTGCCACAGACTGAGCTAGGCCAGCCACCCCTCTCTTCTTAGGCAGAAGCGAGCTTGTAGGATTTAATGTGAAAATTCCTCTGGTCAAGTTTCCATCTCACACTGGGGCTTTCCAAGCTGGGAGATCTGAGTTTAAGGGCCTGGTGGAGCCCCTTAAAGCCAGAGTCCAAACAATTCCCATGCCCAGATGTGGGGGTAGAGACAAGGCCAGGCCGTGTTATCCTGTTGGTGGGGTCCCTTCAGTGAGCACTGCTTCTGAAAAGCCAGTTGTCCTTAGAAAAGCAGGAGCAAGTGGGGCCTGGTGGTGAGCAATTGTAATAACAGCAGAAGGCTGAGGCAGGAAGATCATGAGTTGGGGACCAGTTTAAAATACAGTGAGTTCTGGTCCAGCCTGAACTACAAAAAGGAAAAGGGAGGGAAAGAGCAGGAGAAAGTGCTCTTTGATTTATTTTCCTAGGCCTCCTGCTGATGGAATTGTGGCAATCCAGTTTCCCGCTAGTTCTCAGGGTATGTCAGTGCTCCGCAGACACAGCTCAAGACACCAGAGTTCGTTAAACAGCTTTATTGACCAGATGAGTGATCCACTTGAGTACAGCCATGCCTGCGGCCCTTGCACCTGACAGCTACAGTGTTGTCCTTTCGGCCCCTGGAACATCCAGGCCTGGCCCCTCCTCCTTCCTCCTGCTGCCCCTGACCTGGGGGCCTGGGAGGAAGGTGGGGCCCTGCAGGTGGCTAGAGAAGGCCCTGCAGAAGGCTGAGGTGGAAAGGGCAGGTTGCAGGGGAGGTCCGAGGACTGGGAAAGCGGTGTTGTAGGAAGGTGAGGGTAAGTCTGCCCCTCTCCACATCTGAGGAATAATCAGTCTGGCATGGCTAGGACAGAGCACTGATCTGGGCTGGGCTGAAACAGGATCAGGGAGGAGCTGTCCCTACAGTTTCAGACCCAAGGTTAGGCCAAGGCTAACTACCTTAGGCTTTGGACCCCTGATAAAAGCAAATGTGGGTTGGAACTGTTTCATTATGATCTCCCCCATCGAACAGGGAACTAGATGACTGAGGTCAGGCAACCTCCTGACTTTGGGGTCCCCACACCTGGGTTGTTCTCCAGCCTCACATGGGAGGACACCAGTTCCACAGTGACTCATAGGCAGGAGACCTAGAGAAGCAGGTGGTTTCTTTCTGTGGCCCATGATCCTGTCTGCATGCTTCTCTGCCTCCCCAGTGACCTGAGCTGGGACTCCTTGGGCTTCTGAGGGACACCCAGGAGCCCACGCCCTTTCCCACAGAGGAGAATCCCTGGGACCCAGTAAACCGCAGCCTTTCCTCACCCCATCTTGGTCCTGCTTCCCTGCCCCTCCAGCCTGTTGCTGCTCTTCCTCTGGGCTTCGACATGGGGTCTCAGGAGTCCTGGCCAGCCAATGACAGGGAAGAGGCTGGGGTCTGTGGGGTGCAGTGTGGGGAGAGGGCCTGGTCCCACTGAGATCACACAGACAGGTGTCTCCAAATGGTAACGGTGTCAGATGCCGGGCAGAGGGAGCTCCTTAGTGGGACAGGAGCTCAGGCAGACCCCAAAATCAAAGGGAGCCAGATGCCCAGGTTCAAGTCGTTAGCGATGTGCGGCAGGGCTAAGTGAGAGAACCCCAGAGGTCTCCATGGCAGCTGGGAGGGAAATGGCGATGGAAAGCGTGGGAGAGGCCGGGCGCAGCAGGCAGTGGTGGTGGCCTCACTCAGAGTGGACCAAGGCCCCGGCTCCTTGTCCAAAGCCAAAGCCCTTGGGCCCGAAGTTTTTAGCATAGCATCCTGCAGAGAGAGGAGAGGGGTAAGGACATGAGCGCCTCCCACCACACCCCTGGAGAAAGGAGGCCCACCAGTGCCACCACCTGTGCTTTCTACTCCACGCTGTGCCCACGGCCCCTGCACTGAAGTGAGGGAAGGAGCCTCATCTTCTGCAGAGAACTGGACTGGGACTTAGGGACCCAGGATGTGGCCCTGTCCACACCTGAATTGTCAGTGGACTCTAACCAAGCTGCTTCCATCTCTGGGCTCATTTTCCCATCTGTGACGTGAGGGTGTCAGGCTAGGTGCTCTGGCTTTTGGAGTTCAAGGCCAGGAACTGGTTCGTATTTGGCAAAGGGCTGACTGCTTAGTTCCCCTGCCTCCTCCGGCTTCTTGATCTTTAACTAGAAGTGAAACTACCCACCTTTGCAGTAAATCTCGCCATCCTTGTCTGCCAGAGTGGTTGACTCGAGGCCTTTGCCACACTTGGCACATCGGAAGCAGGATTTATGCCAAGACTAGGTGTAGAAGGAAAGAGTTAGAGCTGCTACCTCCCAGTGAATACAGCACCCGACTCCTGCCCACTCCCTTTGACATATCCATGGTGAAGGCCACTTCTGAAGTCTTCTGGACCAGGGCTACTGGGAGGACATGGCCCAAGGTGATGGACAGTGGGGGCAGCAGGCTGGGGACCAAGCCCACACCACCTTCAATGGGGTATTGCAACAAAATGTCACAATAGCTAGTGGCACCAGCTACACCACAAAAGGCAGCTGTTCCCCATAAACGAGACCAGGCAAGCCCATTCTTGTCTGCAGATTAGTGGTGGGAGCAAGGGCTCTGTACATGTCCTGGCATTGCTGCTCACGAGGAGAACAGCTCCCTTATGTCCTCCTCTGGGATACCTCTTCATCCACGGAGCAGAATGGATGTGAGGACTCAATACTTAAACATCAGGTGCCTGGCCATAATGCAGGCATTTGGAATAGGAGTCCTCCTGCACGAGCCTGGCCTCAGAAGCTCTAGAACTAGGCACCTCATCGGAGAGTGGGCAGCCATATGTCCCTCACTAGGCAGCTGTCAGTGTTAAACGGCTTCACCAGCATCATTTCATCCACAGGTCCAGGCACAGAAGAGACCCCGAGTCAGTGCTGTCCAGTACCACTTTGGAAGGGGATTGGCATTCAACTTGGCAGGAACAGGAATATAGTTCGCCCAAGGAATATAGTTTCTCCAGGGCCACAGAAGGGCCCTTGTGGTTCTAAGAGGTGACCCAAGGCCACACAGGGTAGTCTCCCAGGGAAGAGGCAGAGCCCAGGTTTATTCAGGGATGAGACCCCACACAGACAATTTAACTTCTCGGCAGCTGGTGTCCATCAGCAACTGCAGGGCAGGCTGAGAGGCTGATATGCAGACAGCTGTGCTGACCCAGGAAAAGCAAGAGGCAGGCAGCAGCCAGACGGGACAAAACAATGCCTTTTAAGGGCAGTGAGGCTTCCCCAGCAGAGCTACCAGGGCCCAGGCTGGAGGGTGAGAAAGGAAGCTGATCCCTTCGTGTTTCCTGATCACTTGACCGTGTCCACTGCCTCGTCCTCGCATGCCCAAGGGACAGCAGAGGTCTGGGTAGCTGAGAGGGGGACCAGGGTCTCAGGCCTTCCCTTTGTTCCCTGTGTGGTCTCAACAGTTTCCCAGTCTTCACGTCCTCCTCTCTCAGGCAGAGGCCACTACCCAGCTCTCCAGTCTGGAGGAGATCCGACCTAGCTGCTTCCTAGATGATCTGGGCAATTAGTCAGTCCTGCTGAGTCTACGAGAGGGGATAATAATCCCCATCTCCAGCCGGGATCGTGAGGGCCGAGAACCTACTGCAGTCTAGCCTTGGCCTAAGTGTTGGCTCCCCGTCCCATTGCCCCTGATTCCCTTTTTAAGGTCAAAAGATGTGGAAGCCAAGACTCAATTCCAGAAGCGCTGGAGATGGGTGCTGGGCTATCAGCTTGCTGAGTGATCTTGGCCAAGCCACTCCTCCATTTCAGGCTGGTGTGGTGATCCACAGATCCTCTCTGGCCACGCAGCCTGTGATGCTCGGGCTGCCGTGGGTGTGAGACTATAAACCCCCAGGACATGGGCTCTGTGTCTTCTCCACTGTCGCCTGGTTGGAACAGTCAGGTTGCTATGGTGATTCTTAACGTGCATGGTGACTGGGGGCTGACATCAGAATATCACAGATGAAGGGCAGGCATGGCAAATTATAAACAGTGTGACCTCTAATAGGTCCAAACCTCGAAAATCTCTGCCCTGGGCTTGTACGATGGGTTTCTGGAAGAAACCCTTTTATGAAACAGAAGATATATTTGGGGTGGTTCTTGACATTTTGAGGGTCTAAAAATCTGATGAGGGCTATGGATCTTCCGAGAGAGATAGTTCCCTGTAAAACTTCACATGTAGGGGCCGGGAATTTAGCTCAGTGGTTGTGCTGCCTGCCTTGCAAGTGCAAGGACCCGAGTTCGATCCCCGGTACCAA